CACAATTCGGTAAGGATCAATATGATAACCATTCCTGTTATCACTTCAGCACCTGTTTCATTAATGCATTCCTTTCCTGTATTGTAACCAATGCACGTGTTTGTTCTTCCAGCGAAAGTGAGCCAAATTGTCCATTTTATATTTAATTTAAGGTTCCAGTGAATCTTGAGGTTTGAAAATGTTGTTTATGTAACACCAAGGCCATGACAAATACTGGAATATATTTGGTTGGAAAATGCTAATTAAAACAAAATGGTTAGTGAAGTTACTGTTAGCAGTTAAAACACTTTTCAAAACTAGTGAGAAAGATTAAGTTGCAGGTAACCACAGTAACAAAACTGATGGTTTATGCAATCCAACTAGTAAACTCCACACACTGACCAGAAGAAACATAGAATGTCTGACAAATTAAGATGTCTTTTAAAGATAACTTTGGCTAAAACTATGACATTTTAAATTGCAGTGATGAGATTGCAGGTTGCATAGAGAAAGCATATGAACAGATCCAGTTCAGTGAAGCCACCCGTGTGCTGTTCTTCAGTTCTCCAAAAAAGATGACCGAGTATGCCAAGAAGGTATGTATGGTTAATTTGGGAATCAAATCTGAATTATAAGTCAGGTTGTATTTAGAGATTAGAATATGATTCTGCAGATGTGAGTTTCTGTATTTAAAACTGCATTTCAAACATAATTATGTTTCTACATAATTTGTCTTAAGACCGAGCAAATACTTATGCAGATATGAAGAGCAGATACATTATGTACAGTATCTGCCTGTGTTGGCAGAACCTGAAAATGCTTGTAATTTTACATATGTGAAAATATGTACAATAGCAAGAGTGTGTTAGGGTTCTTTTAACAAGATCAAGTCCAGTGAAGGACAGCATCTATTGGTCCAAGCTAATATAACAATTTAGGTAAAGTGGAAAATTCCAGGCATTCACCCCAATGACAGATAACTTAATTTTTAACCTTCAGCTGTTCATTAGTGAGTTCTTGTGATTCAATTTTTAAAACTGAAAAAAACAACAACAACTCCTTCCTAGCACATACAAGAACAAATAAACAAAACATATTGTTCTTGTCATATTATTTCAGAGAGGATGGAGTTTGAGCCCAGATGGTTATTACTCTTTCACCAGTCAGCAGCAGCGGACAGAGGAGGTGACCATCCCTTCAACAGAGCTGGCACAACAGGTCATCGAATATGCGCGACAGCTGGAAATGATTGTGTAATCCGCCCCCAGGAACACACTCAACCATGTACAAAGGCACTCAGACACACACGCAGCTGATCCAATATACATCCAGTCAGTACAAATGCAGTTTCCGTGAGGAATACGACTTCATTTATTGCCAGAGTGGTTGATTTGTTGCCCATACCTCAAAGATCAATCAGCATCTATTCTACCTGTATTCTTACTTATCTTCAGGTTTTTCTGTCTGGCAGTGTGCTGTCATTTTTAAGGATGGGGAACAAAACACACAACAGGTGACCAGTCTGTTCAGCAGCAGCAACTATCTACCTTCATTGAAGAAGTTCAAGAGGTTAAATGTTACTTTTAATTATTTTATCCAAGATGCCATCTGTCCAACATTAATGTTGAGCTTTTTATTGGCCATCCTCAACTGCTGACCAAATACAAGAACTTCAGGTTCTAATATCCTTGGCCTGCAGCTCTTTTACAACTCCAAGAAATTTCATTACATCACCCCCCTGTGACTTTGCCTTTCAGTGTCACACAAAACTATGAACACAACAGAAATTTTCCACAAATCTGAGTAAACTCTTTTTGTATACAAAGTTCATTTTCTCCTTAGTCGAGCTCACAGAAATGTATTGCCCTTGCCTTGTATCCTAGCAACTGACAGAATTGCAATTGAAGTTTGTGTTTTCTAGATGGTAATGCCTCTTCCTCCCTGTTTGGTTTGTAATCCAGTTGATCTTTCAGTGCAAATCTTTGTCTAAAATAAATGATTCAGAGACTAAACTTTCTGAATGACTGTGCATTTTTATACTACAGCTCTTGGTAACTTTTATAGGAAGTGAATCGTTTACACCAAATTATAATTTTTAGAATGTCTGTTAACAATATTTTGAATGTTTTTTTTTCTTATTCTATATTTTTATTAAGAAACTCCTCTATTATTCTGGATCCATCTCTGTTCTAATCAAGCCAAGGAGGTTCATGCTTGTAGGTTGAGCGTTCATCACACCTATGGAAATGATGGACAGAGTCACTGACTGATTTAACAAAGAGAATAAAGCAAAATATCAAGATGAGCAAAACAGTGTTCACTTAATTTTGATTCCTAAGTTTGTGTAGTAGTTAATAAAAATGCAGTTCATCATTGCCTACATCTGTAAACAGTTTGCAGTGTAATGCACTGCTCACCACTTTCTGACATTTGGTGGCAAACCTCTCCTTGGTGACAGCTCACTTTGCGCGAACAGGACTGATTCACTGTAAACTGGTGCCAGCGACCCTCGATGTAGACTTTGTGTTCAGGAGGGACTGGAGGAGCACTGGCTTCTGACTTCTTCTTTCAAAGTGACATTTCCTGTATTCATCTGAGGTTTTTTTATTTAATGCTTTGGGTGTGCATTCTTTCTTTGGCATAACAGCGGTATCTTGAGGTAGGGAAACCTTAGTTTTACACTGGTGTTTTAACATGACTTTTGTCTCTGCAGCTACACTTGTTGGGTTATGAGTATCAGCATATTTGGGGCAGCTGTAGGCCCCCTTTCCACTACTGGGACCTTTGCTTCTACTGGTTTTATGTTGACTTTTTGTATACAAGAGGAAGTGTTTTCACAGTTGGTTGGGATGAGGTGCTAGGTGTGGCTAATTGTGTTTCCCTCCATGGCAGTGCAACCTTGGGGTGAACTCTCTGGCACAGTGGTGACAGTTTCTGCAGCTGTTTGCTGGGAGCTCTTGCTGCCAACTCTTGGCTGAGCCATTAATTTATTTGTTACTCTTTCTTAGCCTCATTTTGGCAGTATTTTCACAGCTTCTTTCTGATTTGGAGATGAAGTAAAATTGAGAGTCCATTGAAATCACATTGGTAACACTGTTATGGTTCAAGCAGTGTTTGTGTAGTACATTTTCCTCATTGTTAACCTCAGCTTTTGGCTGAATTGACATTTTTGTTGAGTGGTCAGGTGACTCTATAGGCTTTGCGGCAGGCACATCCAAAAAACCTGGGTTTGTGGATGTGTTTGACTGTGCAATGTTGTGAGCCCTGTCTGTTGTACAGAAGGTCAAGTCAGTGCTTGCTTCATTCACACTGGGTGGAGCACAACTGGATTTTTCACAGGGTAATTTGGTGATCATTGCTTTTGTCTGAGCCTCTGCTTTTTCAGTGTGTTGGTTTTCTGGGGGCTCATTTCTGACCACCTCTCTGCGTGTACAACATACATGTGCTTGCATTTCAGAGGCAAGAAGTTGAGGGATCATCTCTTGCTGCTCTTTACTGAAAAAGATTTTGAAGTTGGCAGACATAACTTGATAAGTTACCAATTCTATACAGATTTACGGTGTTATGACTGTACATGGGAATAAAGGAAGGCATGACAGATTTTATACAATCTGCTTTGTTAAACTAATAACCTGACAGCACTATAGTATTCTTGAACAGGGTGTAAGACGAGGGGCAGCAGTAGGGACAGCACTGAACACAGTATGTCAACATTGTATGTCAGTGTTATACAGTATTATGTGCACACACCTCACCTGTGTTCTACCTGAGGTGAGGTGTCTTTGTAGAGCACTTGAGCTAGTATTTGGACTGAGGCAGGTACTACTGTGTTATGGACGGGGTCTGCAGTCGTCCTCATGCCCTTGTCACAGGGTGCAACCACCCTTTTCATAGCTTCAGGCTTCTGCTGTGAAAGGTGTGAAATTTCTAGCTTACTCAGGCTGAGTATGGCCAAATATCACCTTTCCCTTTCCCTGCTGCTGTACAGGTTTTGTCTGTTGGTGCACTGGTGCTGTTCGTTTAGTCTTTTGTGGCACTCGTTCTGGAGACACTGACTGCTACTGTCTTAAGTTTACAGACACATTCTGAAATTGCTAAGATGTCTGATAGACCATCTGATTTACCTGCAGTTTTTTTTTCACACCACGTGTGTACCCAGCAGGTGTAGCCTGCTGGAGCATTAGTTTTGGAGTACTGGTCTTTTTGTCCTTAGGTTGTGCAAGGTATGTGTGTTGTTGAGTCACTACTATTTTACTGGGTTGACATCCTGTGAATTGGTCATAGCCTTGTTATTGCCTTGCTCTGTTTTCATGAGTGTCAACATCAGGGTTTTGGTGCATCCTTGTGAGCATTGCTTCATTACTGGGTTCCATTTAATTACTACCAAGTTGAGTGTTTTTGGGGTTTCTAATGAAATCATTTGATTTAATGCAGTGTCATTTTTAGTTGCTGCTTCTTCTGTGATACCATTTTTTTATATCATTATTGAACTGGTACTTTTTTGTTTCGTCTTTTTTGACAGTAGAATACCCATTCTTTCTATTCGGATATCCTGCAAAATAGTTGCTATTAACAAGCTTAAAGGAACAGTTGTGTAATTTTTTATATTTATTTTCAAGACTTTGTTTCCAAAAACACTACAAAGAGAGACAACTACTAAAAAAGCCACAAACCAACTAAAAGGAGACAGAAAAGACCCTAAAGACAGCGAAATGACTAGTTATATGCAGAATAACTAAGAGAGAGACAACACAAAGAAATGCCAAACAACAAAAAATACACAAACCAATTAAAAGTAGGTGCAAATTGACTAAAAAGATGTATAAAGGGTATAAAACTAACACATGTGGGTCGTATGTTAGGCTGCGGGATTTGAACTTGGGACCTTGTGCACTTGAATCAGAAGAAGCCGTGTAGGAAGTGTTGGCACTACTGTGATGGAGAATGATCACCTAAGTTCATAGCACTTTATTAGCCTGTACTGAATTAACTAAGTTTAATCCGTTACTTTACGACTTTTAAGCCAAATTGCACAAAAAAAGAAGAAAAGAAAAAAAGAAAATAGCCCGTGACCTCAGTGCTTTCTCACAGTTGGGCTGTAGGGTACTGTGTGTGTGCATTTACAGTAGATTCCTGCTCCATGTGTGAATAATTCATGAAATGTAGATAGCCCACGCTACTCGAATCATTCTGGTTTCGTAGTTGTACTTCTTTAAATGTAGGGTGGAGGCAGGGCATCATTTAGCCTATGCGTATGCGACATTTACGTTTGTAAATGTGTGGATGAGAAAAGTAACCACAAAATAATATAGCATAAGTTTCTGCTTAGTCCAGCTGCAAACGCAGGGTTATGCAAACGGGGTAATCATTAAGTGGGTGTGATTCAAGCCCCAAATGAGACGTACTGTTTGTTAAAGCGGAAGATTCCGTCTTTTTAATTGGGGTGGTATTGCTGTCCATGGTGCTGAAACCTGTGTCACTACCAGCACCAACGATGGGACCCTAAAGGACAGTGGGCCAGACAGTGGTCAGTCCCTGCAAATGATGGGAACTAAATATTAGGCTATACAGTGCTATAAATTAGCCTATAGGTACACAACAATGAACCAGGTTTGTGCTTTTGTAATGTAAAAACAAATGCTAGCATAGATGTAGGCTGAATGGGCTACTTCTGCTTTTATTTTACCCATTGTATTACATTTGCTTTATAGAATTTCTTTGGCCCGTGATATTCAGAGGATCAGCCGGAGGTCATTGATGGTTTACCCACCTTTTCATTTACCACCCACGTCACTGCATACATCAACAACTCAGTCCTCGGATTCAATAATTTAATATCACATGGCTACACTGAGAAACTCTAGCAGAGTCAAAGCCACGATGCTGTCAATGATTAGTGCGTATGTGTTGGCAGGGCAGGTAGAGTGAGAAAGGGAATAAGCGAGGGAGTGATTTGGAGAGAGGGAGGGAATACACCGAAACGACATCAAGGTGGAGAGAGAGAGCGAGAGCGGGAGGAAAAGACAGAAAGATAAGGAAAATGAAAGCAGATAGAGAGAGAATGTGAGCGAGTCTGAGTGTTTCCTGAAAGGAGGATAAAAAGAGAGAGAGAGGAGACCCTGGGGTGGGCTGCTGCAAGCGGCGGGCAACACCGAGCCATGGAGGGCGAGTAAGTCCTTACATTTTCATTTTTAATATTGCACATATTGTCTGTATTCAGCCATCCACCAAAACGGATAGAACGAACGCCACCGCCATCAGGGTTACACCAATGCAGCACCATGCACTATTATCACAGTCGGTGCTCTACAATTTCGCAGGCTGGCGAGAATAAAAACACCATTACGTAGTGTTGAATCAACAGCATACACCCCATTTCCGATACATCCATGCCAATATGTGATAAATGTTAAGCCACCTAAATGTGGACCTGTGCTTATGGGCGACTGGCACACCATCTTCACGCACAACATTTTAAAAATATTAATGAAAACGCACTGAACAAACAACAGAAACTATGCAACAATTCCAAACTAGATGCGTGGTTAGCGACTGGAAAAAAATCAGTCACGAAATCAGTCAGTGTGTAAAATGTATAGGGAAAAAGACGAAATATGGCGAGTTTGTGGCCAGAATCGCGTCATTCAAGACATGGCTACAGTAAAACGAGGGAGGGATGGAGGCGTTGTGATTTTTATCAACGTGTCTCGGGGTTTCATTATGATTTTTAAAGCCAAACTTTATGAATGAAATGTGATTTTTTTTCTCTCTCTCTCTCGCTCTCCCTCATCCTCACCCCTCCTCTCCTCCTTCCCTTTTCTAATCGCCCCCCTCCCCCTATCTCTTGTTTCCTCTCCATCCTCTCACCCACTCGTTCCTTTTTCCTTCCCCTTTTTACACTCGATTATATTGTATTTAGGCCTAATAGATTTTCTGGTGAAATATGGGCTACAGGCCTAACGCGCAGTGCGATGTCGAATCCAGCCGTGCTCCATCCCATTCATAAAAAATATAACAGTATATCGGGGTGTGTTAATGAGTGCGTGCAGCAGGGGCGGAATGGGGAAAATCGGCGTCTGGGAAAATAATTGCAATAATTACGCCTAAAATTCTGTGTGATTTGAAAGTATGAAAAAGACGCGGCCGTGCATGCGTCCATGCACACGTCGAGCTGCGGTGCCGATTTATTCAGGCGACTGGCGAGGGCAGAGCTTATTTTTGTAAGAATGCCGGGGCCTCTGATGGCGAATGGGTGCGTTCATTGATACATCTATCTGGGAAACACACTCATTCTCCCTCCCTCCTCCCATTTGGCCATCTCTCTCCTCCTAAACGCCGGCTTTCCCTATCCATTTGCTCCATAGTTCCTTTATCTTTAGTGCATACAACCTACAGACATTCGTGCGCCCAGCATCCCAGCTTTAATCCGCTCCTCTCGGCAGAGACGTTTAGATAACAGCCAAACTATCAAAAAATGTCTTAGCATATTTTTCATTTTTCTCACCGTCATCACACGCCAGTTAAAATCAAATTTACCTAAATCATGTGACTTTAGATTTTTAGAAAAGGCCCATTATTGGACGACATGCCATTGAGCTGCATGTTGTAAGGTCATATAGTTATAGCTGTCAAATCTGTCCTGGTTGTGTGAACTTCACCATCTCATCTTAGTCCATTCGGGGGAATCCGCTGCTCTTTAACGGGTGTTGACGTAGGCTACATATAGCCCTGCCTCATCCTTATAGCTTTTCTCTCTCAAAACCGAATAATACAGTTTGAAAACAGATTTGTTTAATAAAGCATAGGCCAACATCTCATTTAAAAAAGCGGCTATCGCCATCTGGTAAGTCCCCGTCGCATGATGGCGCCCGCTCGAGGCGAAGAAGATGCTACAGTCGTAAACGGACAAGGACAAGACACAAATGTGAGCTCTGTACTCTATTTAAAGTGTTTTAAAACAAAATACTATTTGTTTCTATAAGAGAAAAGACATTGGGGATTAGAACCAGCTAGGCTTTGCTAATGTACGTCTGATTAGTCGCCCCACACATTCGCTACCCAACTCATGGCCGCCGCCTACGCAGGACATGGGGCTAGCTTAATAATTGCATTGGTATCATTTGCAGTCAACACTGAAATTAGCTCTGCGTTGTTGTATTATGGAAGTTGACCTGCGCCGCTGTGCTTTCAACTGAATTAATGTGTACATCAGCGTATGCTTATCACTGTCATTCAGCCTGGACTTCCGCTCACTCTCTTGGCTTCTTCGACAGTGTGCGTGTTCGTGCGGTGGTGATGACACGTGATGACTCCAGTGGCGGTTGGGTGCCTCTTGGAGGTGGCGGCCTCAGTCATGTGGTCATATGTAAGGGGCGGAGTCACGACGGTAGAGGGCGGAGAGAATACATCATCCGTGGAGAACGGCTACGAGATCGAGCAGTGAGTGTGTGCGTGTGTGTTATGGCTGTCTTTAGTGCCTCCTTGCAAGGCAACACTACCCAGAGACTCTAGACTCATGCTATGTGGGGGCATTGCTTCAGGAAGGGATGTAAACTGACTTGTTCTGTTACGGGATTGCTATTTCTGTTTTTAGCCAGTGTTGGAGTGTGCAGTGCAAAAGGGGTTAGTGTACAACAAGGTGAACCCCATCTTCCATCACTGGCGAGTAGAGGATCGAAAGTTTGGCCTTACGTTCCAGAGTCCTGCTGATGCCATCTCCTTTGAGAAAGGGCTGCAAGCTGTCATAGACAAGCTTGACAGAGGTAGAGTTACCTGATTTCATTAGGTGTGTGAATCTTCTTTAGAAGAAGTCCACGAAAGTCTGAATCTTCTCCTTTCATGTTATCAAGGCTCAGATTCACCCTCATCCTCCACACCAGAAGAGGCCGACACCGAGGATGATGGACAAGCTGTGAGTATCTGAGCAGCTCATCGCTTGAGCATTTATTCTCTAAAAAGGGCCAGATTACACTGCCACTGGGCTCCAGTGCAGTTACTGGTGTTTCTGACTTGTGGGATGACATGCAGCCTCTGCCAGTCCCATACAGGAAGCGAGTCGTCATCCAACAGCAGAAAGGAGATGCTTCCCAAACCCATCACTATAGTGACGAGTGAGTCCTCATCTACCTGCTTCGTGCGGTCAGAAGAATTTAGTTTTGGATCCAGCCATGCTGTCACCACTCAGACACCTGCTCAGGTAGCACAACAGCTGCTGCTCCAAATCCATCATTGGTACTTCACCATCTTAACTAGATGTGAAGTAACAGACACGTAGATTTAATTGTCAGTTGATTTCTTTGGATGTGTTCTTGTTGTGAGCTTTAATGTTGATTACCATAAAATAAGATTACCATTCAAGCAATAAAAAAAACATGGAAGGTTGATTGTTTTCCTTCTATCCCCACCCTTACCCCTCATTTCCACTGAGTGCGGCTGCGTCGCATTCCGTCTGTGACCGGAGCTGATCGCTGCCAGTATAGTCAGCGCTTGTGATTCTACCCGGGCACAGCTGCGATGCGTCTCAGAAGTGGCTCTCCGCTTCGCTAACGATACAGTTCTAGTCTATTTTTGATGGATGTCGCTTCTAGGATGCTTCTGAAAAGAGTACAATCCACCAATCATGTAGCGCTTTAATGCCTGTCACCAGGGTGATGGGGAGAAAAGTTGGTTATATGCTACCAACAAGTCATGTGAAACATAAATATGAAATAATTATGAGGATGGATGTATTTTTAATAACTAAAACACAGCCACACATCTTTGATCCACATTTCATGATGACATTACTGTCATTGTTAAATGAAATTTAACCATTAACTGTAGTCTTTGTCTGTAGGCTACAGCACAATAAAGTAGGAAATAAGAACATTGTACACAATTAAAACAGAAAAAAATAAGCCAGTTAACTATGAAGCCTTCTTATCCATTGTATAAAACAAGGAAAAATAGCCTACACAAAAAATCTAAACCACCACAAGCCGCTCCACAGATACTCCTGGTGCGGGATGAAGCCCTGCAGAGGACGGATCAAAACCGCGTCACAGACAGAATGAGATGCAGCCACATCCAATGGAAATGAGGGGTTATATTAATATCCACAGTGGAGAAATGTATCTATTATACAAGTAAAAGGAAAATCAAAATAAACTGCTGACATTCCACAGCATGACATCTTAAATGTGGGATTTTTGGATCATGTATGCAGCAGTTACAGATAGCCTCGAGATGACAACCTTCTGTAATCCTTGCCACAGTACACAGTGTTCCTGCCTCAGTCTGTAATCCTACACCCTCTCCACAGATCCACACCAGGCCGGGACAGCACCAGCTTTCACAAATGACGGCTGTGTTGAATCCCCCAGCACCCCCGCCACCACCGCCTGCTCCACCTACTCCTCCTGTGGGCCCGCCAGCCTCATCTCCTCTGTCCCCCCTCTCACCTACCATTTCCTTGCTGGAGGAAGGAGATCTACGTAGTGTGGATCCTTGCAAAGACCTGTGGGGTTCTCGAGGTTATGAGGACTACCGACGGGCAGGGGCCACCAGGACTATGGTTGGGGGGCTGACCGGTGGTGTGGTTGTTGGCGGTGGAGGAAGTCTGCAGGACAAGTCAGAGCTGTGTGTGGTCCGCTTTGAGAAGGAGCTGGCCGGAGTGGGGACGGCAGGCTGCGACGTGACAGTGAGCCTTGACAGTAAAGCTTCCCAGCGTCTGTCGTCATCGTCGCCCACCTGTATGTCCATGCCCAATGCTGTGTCAGGTGTGTCCTCAGGTGCTGGCTCGCCCCAGGAGACAGGCAAAGGATCGCCCTCTCCCTGCTGCATCCTCAACTCACTGGCCACACCCCGGTCACGGACTCGTAAGAGAGGGGGAGGGGCCAGCAGTAGTGGCGACCCAGGGGTAATCACCCCTGATGACGACAGCCCGTGTCCTCAGGCTTCATCGTCATGCTCATCTCGCTGTGTGTACTGCCGCTCTGTTTTCAGTGCTTCAGAAAATGGGCGGGGCCGGTGCAGAGATGCCCCAGACCCAGCCCTGCACTGTCTGCGCCAGTGGACCTGTGTGTGGTGTGCAGAGAGTCTGCTGTACCACTGCATGTCAGACTCTGAGGGAGAGTTCTGGGAGCCCTGCTCGTGTGATGACTCGATGGGGGGCCACCCGCACCCCCTTTGCTGTGCCCGCTGGTTGGCCCTCCTGGCCCTGTCGCTCTTTGTGCCCTGCATGTGCTGCTACCTGCCTTTGCGCGCCTGTCTGCGGTGTGGGGAGAGGTGTGGCTGCTGTGGAGGAAAGCACAAGGCAGTCCGATGAGGCCAGGCAAGGGGGTGGGAGGGATTCTTTGGACCAAAGGGGTTTGGGTGTTAAGGGGGGAGAGTAGCTGTAGGGATGCAGGAGGTGGAGCTTAGCAGGTGGATCAGGGCTCTCAGTGCACCCAGACCTCTGACGTGACCCTCCGAAGCCCTGCGGCCTTCCACTGCACTCCACTCTTTCTCTTTTCAACCTGGGGCCTTCTGCACTGGTCCATGCCTGCTGAAGGTGCACTGCACTCAGACCAGGTTCTGTGGGAGCCATCTGGAGCCTTCATAGCCCTTATAGTTTACTGAGGGTTGGCAGATCTAGAGTTAGCAGTCAGAGATTTTACTGCAGAAAGAGATTGGAGGCAACAATGATGTGTACACTGTTTCAAATGTCTGTTTTTTTAAGAAAAAACCCACAAAAACAAAAGTTGTTTATATATATGATTGTTATAATTTTAATTGGTATATTTTATTAAATGTAAAACATGACAGAATCCCCCAACCGCACATACTATCACATATTCACAAACATGAGATGTTGGGGAAGTTATTTGTTTCATGTTGGCCTGTTGATCAGTCAGATGAACAGATGTCACCCTTTACCTCTAATTTTACCTCAGATGCTCATCAAACCCCGGTTAGGAAATGGGGGGGGGAACTATGAGCATCTGAGACCACTAGTGTTGTCTTTTGGTTAAGTAGTAGACCACAGTGGAAATGCAAAGAGACAATTATTAAGGGAAGTTGCAATGACAACCACAAAGACTTAAAAATCATAATGTGATTCATTATGGTCCTTTGTAACCAAACACAAGGTTATTTTTGTTTTCTGAAAAAAAAAAACAACTCAAGATTGTGTGTTGAACATTAAACACCTTCACTTTACAGTTTTTCATCTTTCCGTGTATTTTCAATATTAATCATAGAAAACATCACATCCCACCACTGTACTTGTTGAATCAGTCAAGGTGCTTACAGATGAGGCCTCTGAGCGAGTCTATTCTACCTAATGTACACAATGACTGTACAGTCCCCAAAGACAAACAGAATAGGACCCCGTGCTAATCGGTCTGTTTGAATGAGACTGCACCAAAAATTGAGTGCAATGAAAAATGTATTGAAAGAATATTTTTGTACCAATAACTGACATTAGGAAAAACTAAGAAATTGAAAAGTGTTGGAAGTGAATCCTGTAGTATGCTAATGTGTTTGGTATCGAGTAGAAAAGAACACAGACTTGTCTTTGAGCAGCGGCACATAGCTCACAGGTGTGACTTTTAAATGCGCATGCTATAGACTGTTGACCCTGTGATAAGAGAAGAGATGCATTAACTTGAAAAAGATGAATGGAGGTCGGTCTTTGTTTGGGCACAGTGGCAGATGTGTTTGCTCAATGTTGCTTTAAGTATGAAGTCAGAAAAGCTGCTATTTTTAGTCTCCCTATAACCCTATTCAAACGTTCCCGCTGCTTCTTAGCAATCTCTGAGGTGGTGTGGCAGACTCAGAAACAATCCTTCAAGTTCTTATTGCACCCAAGGTGCTGAGGAAGTGTTTGAAGAAGGTTTTTGTAAGTTTACAGCTGGACATAAAGATAAATATACCCCAAGACATTTTTTTAAAATGATTCTGGTGATGTACTTTGCATTTCTGTGTCTATTTTGCAGATTGGTGATATATTTTTTTATACTCCAAGTGAATAACTGGCCATGGGTGAATTAAAAGCTACGTATTTCCATCACAGCTCCAACTGATTTAATTAACACAGTGTTTCTCACAAATCTTTATATGTCATTTATAAACATCAGTTTTGTGTGAATTCCTTAAAATGCAATGCAGGCACAAGATTTACAAGATCATATTTTTTTGTTTACTGGAAAAACTGAAGCTTTAATATCGCTGTAACTGTTGTTCATGGTCTCTTGACCCGCACTGAGAACCAGCTACTGCCCCTGGTTTTCTGTGAGCAATCACAAAGCGAGCTAGACAATAGGTAGGAACACTGAAACATAAATGACAAAGTATCACAAAATAACTCACGAAATGCACTGAGCATCACAGAATGGGGGTATTCTAACGAATCTGACAGGGGATTTCTCTTCAATCCAGTGGCATTCTCCTTTAAAATTAAAGCTAGGAATACATACAGTAGACTGTATAAGGATCCCAGTGTTGACTAGTTTTACTACATCATATCTCAAATGAAGGATCATCTGGTGGACATTGTATTATGGCAGAATGAACCTTTCAGAAGCTTCACCAGATTATTTACATTTTAGGTTTAGCCAAGAACTTTTATCCAAAGTGACTTTAAGCGAATGAGCATGCAGTGGGGTTTGGAGTTAGGACATGTGACTGCTGATGAACACAACCCATGACCTCTTAGTTATGGGACACTTGTCTTCACTACCAGGCCAGCCTCGGCCGATGTTGGTCGACTTAAAAAACAAAACAAAAAAACATCCTGTCACAATGGCAGGAAACAGAAGTTCAGTCGGTCATTGATCATAAATTAACCCTTTGTCCCACACACAAGCAATCCCCACAGATCTGCCAAGCATAAAGCTGCACACACAGACACACGTCCACTCAATGGTGCAGATATACAGAACTGGTTAAGCCATTGCACACAGTTTGCTACTCCTGGTTGAGAAATGGTGTTTGAGTACAGTACTGACAGTCATACGATCACAGTTGCAGGCCCCATTCTTACATTTTAATAAATGTGCCTTTTGATTTGAGTAATCAATAACTTATTATTTATAAGTAACTCTGTATTTAGTACTATTTACTTTTTGGTTATTGGTTTCTGCCAATGTGCATATTTTCAATGTATTTATTAGTTTCAAAGTAATTGAGATATTACCTGTTTATTTATTTATTGAGATATTTATTCTGATTCTTTATTTTTTTGAGACAGGTTTTTATCTTCCGTGCTGTCTTACTTCTGACTTTGTGCCAATGTGCTGCTTTGAGGTGTTACATATCGTGGGTTTGTATCATTATTAAACCCTCACTCTATATTTTAAATCTGTGTCATCCTCTGTCTCATGTGTATATCATTAACTTACTGTTTTTTTACCAAACACTGTATGAAAGCCGCGTCATGAAACTGTTCCACAAAGCTCTGTAAGGAATTTGATAAACAAAGGTTTATGCTATTTTCATTCTCTGAATAGCACCATAATATATTTACATTTTGGAACAAATATCTTGGGTAGTTTTTACAAATGTGGATATTTCCTATTACTACATATATACATCCAGAAGCTGGGTGTATTTGCTGTGTATAGAAATACAACAAATACGTCCAATGACCATTAGAGCGAAGTAACATCACTTTAATTTGAAGTTCCTCAAGTACAAAGGGGACAAACAGACAAATAGTACTCAAAAAATAACTTTCTCCATAATCTCAAGTCTTTGCTCAACACGAGTTGTGATTAGTTGTTCTCCAGCTGCTGTGGTCAGTTTGCGGCCAGTTACTTGGCAGAATACATGTGCTGCTTTTTATGTTTGAGGATCTCAGTGGAGGTGAGGTTCAGGTCTTCATTACAGACGTCACAGTGATAAACTCTGGTAAGACTGGTCACTGAGGAAGAGCCTGCCCTTCCACCTTGTGGCTCTGAAAACCATAACATGCATCTGATTAGCTGCTGAATGCATTAGCTGGTTCATGTGCTACCTGAAAGATACCTCAGAATGATTCCTGACCTTCCTCCAGCTGCTGCTGTTCTCCCGCTGGCCTGCAGGAGGCCTCGTGCTGCATGCGTTCCAGTGGAGTCAGAGGCATGTAGAGGTCACAGTTCGGACAGCTCCAGAACATGCGCAAACACTCGCTGTAGAGATCCTTTGAGTCCTACAAATCAATGACAGGTGGGGTGATGAGGTTATTTTAAATTAGGTGTGTTTAGCTAAGGAACATAAATGATTTAATTCCACAATAACATATATTTATTAATGAACATTACATCCATAAGGCAGGTAGAACTAACTACTATAGTGGGTATTTTGTTATCTACCTTTTTAAAAGTTTCCCTCTTCAGTTTCATTTTGCTATAGTTTAATTCCTTTCACATGGAAGCTGATGTGTTCAACCTGTCTTCTACTGTACTCACAGCCAAACAGTTGTAAGTAAAGAAGCTGGTAACATGCAGGCCTCCTTTAATGGGATCCGGCTTGGCCTCGGCTCCTGGAAACAGGGGGTTCAGATCTGGAGCTTTGGTGTGAAACAGCTCAGACTCAGAACGAGGACCGATGTACAGGTTCTGGGTGTGGAAAGCTGTGAGTCGCCGCAGGCTGTAACTGACCTGGGAGGCAAGGTAAGAAATACACAGAAAATGAATATATTGAATGAGACTGTACAAAGATGAATGACCATCTGAGTCACTGAGGATGTCTGGAAAGTAGAAATAAACAAAAATATGAATATACAGAGCTGACAAAATATATTTTCAAGGTTTTCGACCTCATGTACCTTTTTAATATAACAGAACACCACAAACTGAGATCCAGTTATGTTTGAGTTTTGCTTTTGTCCTTCTCCCGTCATCATTCTGTAGTTATTTTCTTATCCACTGAAGTTATTTCTCTTGTTATGGGTTATTTACTTCCCTTGTTTATTCTGTGGTCATATATAAAAAAATCTCTGGCACATCAAAAACAACAGATCAGGAAACCTTAAAACAACTGTTTAACATAATTATTATTTGCATCCAAAGTATATGTATGAGCTACATGTTGTTTTTGGGATGGTCGTACTGTAACCCCCCAGGTCAGCACTGCATCAGTACCTCAGTGTAGAGCAGAAAGCGGACGAGGCCTTCACTCAACTTCTCCATGACTTTGCGGGATACACCCTGGAATGCCGCTCCCCTCTGTGTGCTCTGTCCCAGCTGGGCCTGTAGGAGGCGCTCCCACTCGGCCCTAAGGGTCAGAGCTGTGGACAGAACCTTCAGGGCCTCCTCTGGCTCTCTGAGCTCCAGCTCTAACCAGCCATCCACCACTAGACGCGTGCAGTCGGCATTACTGTCCACGGAGTTTGCCACCAGCAGCAGAGCCTGGCGACCAAATGGAGATACTACTGCATCATGTGTGAACTGACCAGAAATGGGAGTCACTGCATAGAATGTGATACAAGAAAGATCCCCACAGCAGTGATAATTTTACAGGTAGTTTGTGACACATTATATATCTTTTATAATATTTAAAAATGTGGGAGAAAATTGTAATCAAAATAAATAAGATCAGATTATAAAAATTTAATTTGCAGGAGTATTTAAATCAGCATTTTCTTCCAACTTAATAATGTTCAACTACTGTACACGAGCCATGTTCTGAGCTGTCCTTTTGTCAACACTGTCTTGCAGCAGAAACAACTTTTGGATGGGTGGAAACCTGGCTTAGTATCAGCATGAACTGATCTGCTCTGAGGATTTTTTGGTTATAATAGAAGTGAAAATGACAAACAAATAACAGTTTTGAAACAGGAATTTGGCTGCAGTGTACCAATAATACTGGTGTATTGATAATGGATCACAAAGGAGTGTTACTCTATTTGATGTTTGCCCTACTCAAGTCCACGATCACATGAAGAGGATTCTTCAAAAACACATGTGGGACATCCTGGTACTAACCTGCAGCGCTGGAACCCGCACGCAGTTGGACAAATATGGCTTGTTGGTCTCCAGCAGAGTGACGAAGGCTAGCAGCTGGTGTTTGCTGCTGCCTTTCCTGTCAGGCCCTGCAAGCAGGGAGCAGGGAGAGACAGAGGAGATAAGGGAGACTGAAAAACATGCCTGAATTTTAAGAAACATAATCACAAATAAATGAGACCAGAGCAACAGATCTCGTCTTCTCTAGATATGAATATAACTTCCAGAAAAGCATTTTGCTCATTGGCTGACTGATAGTCCAGGCAGTAATTCAAAATTTGTTCAAAATGAAGAGCAAAATGTTTAATAATGTAAAAAAAAGTTTAATAAGAACTTGCCTAGGTTTCTCTCTCACTGAAATTTGTTGTTGTTGTTGTTGTTCTTGCTGGCATTTTTCTTTTCCCTTTAAAAATTTAACCAACCTCAGCAATGAAGAAATACAGATGCTACACTTCATCCTGCCAACGGGCTCCTTTTTAAGGTGAATCATTCCAAAACTGCACTTTAAAATTCTAAGTGTAAAACTTTTAAAGACATTACCCATTTCTCTGGTGTCATCCTCAGGCACTTGCAGCACCTCTGGGTCCGTGGCAAACACACTGGTGGGGTGGATGACCACCCCCTGCTTATTCTTTGTGTGAAACACCTACACCATGTAAAATCACAAAGTGGACATCATTTTCACCCTACATCATTATTTATTTATTTTATTTTTTTACACAGTTGTTTTACTGACATGAGTGTTTCCCCTCTATTGTATCATTAACACTTATACAGGCTGTGGGTGGAGCAGGAGGCCTGACCTGCTCGGAGTCCTTGCGGGTGGAGTTGTGTTCATCGGGCAGTGCCAGCTGAGGGTAGAAGCCCCGGCAGAGCAGCAGCTTGAGCAAAGCCTGCTGGCGGGAGGACAAGTCCTGGCTGACGTTGACTGCCTCCTGCAGCTCTGACACGTTGTGACGCAACTTAAACTTCACCTCCTATTGCAAACAGCACGGACAGATCACTCAGTGACTAGCCTTGATACCATATGTGCTGCCTTGTTCTTCTTATACAAAGTTAATATCAGGATATAATGTTGCCAGAACCCATAAAAAAATCTCCTTAGGTCTTTCTGCAAATTGCTTAAAGGTACAATATGTAAGTTTTCTGTTACATCTGTAACATTTCTGTTGTAGAAATCTGCTCCAAAACTTGACTTAATGTGGAGAGGGGCTGTCAAAGCCTCCTGTGACCCAGACTCGTTGAACAGCACTTGCAGCACTGCAGAGACATTAGGTTCAAGAAGGTTTTGAGCCAGATTGACCTCTCTAACCAATCAGAGATTTTCTCATTTGTTATAATTTCATAACAACAAACATCTGAATAGCTGGGCAAAGCATGGCAGAGCCTAGCCGATCATAGTAGAGCATAGTGGAGCAGAGAGAGAGTGCTAGGTGGAGCAGAGTGGACTGATTTAGAGTTTCATGCCAGCACTACCTTAAGTTAAATACCATAGCTTTAAGTCAACTTGTAAAATGTGCAAATATGAGCCACAAAGCAGCGTTTGTCTCTATAAATGGCATCTGAAGTTATAGCTTTTAAAGACTGCAAGGAAAAGAAGCAAATCAATTACATTTTTCATTTAATTCTGCCTGGTGAATCATAGCACAAACAGCACAAAAAATGAGTGGATGGTGTTTAAAATGTAAGGAACATGGGCTGCAGAATTTTGTTCCAGTAGATACTGAAGCAGCAACTATTATACAGTTACTATTATACTCTTTTAAGTATCATACAGTATTGCAACAAAGACCTTCTATATATTAATTTATGTTTAAAGTTTAGAACTGCTTTGTGACAACTTCTTTCCATGGAAGTTCACCTGTATGTCCATGTCCTGTCCTGATCCCTCCTTGTCATTCTTGCCTTTGCCTGCTCCCTCTGTGTCTGACCCCGAGGAGAACTCTCCATCCTGGCCCTCGTCGAGCCTCAGCACTTTACGTCTGCTGCCCTCCTGCCGCTCATGATCTCTCTTCAGTTGATGCAGCTTCCTCCTCTCTGTGAGCCTCTCCCTGCGCTTCCCATGGTCACTGCCAGAGGAAGCACTGTATTCTGACTCCAGAAGGCCATGGCTCCTCAGCAAGTCCTGTTGACCAGAGAGAAAGCTCATATTGAGAAATAGTTTTCACACACAATAAAACTTATTCAACTTTTTGTGTGAACTACTGTGAAAATAACCTGCCTTGAACTGTCTGCGTAGGTTGACCATCTCATATAGTCGCTGTTCCTCCAGACCTCTCCTTCTGCACCACTTCCTTGAGCCACCACCTCTCTCTCCCTTCACCTGTTCAGCTCAAAGATGAAACATTTTTTGTACAATGATGACTTTCCTATATCCCACCTGAGCACTGTCACGTAACATTTCCCTTACTGACCTCCACCCAGGAATTGAATGTGTTGAGCAGGGTAAAGGGGTCTCCGTGGTTGCTGTGCAGGGGCTGGCGGGCAGTGGCACAGTCTGGGTTATGTTGTGAGCTGCGCAGGAAAGGTGACTGAACACTGTGTGCTGCTGCCACTGTCAGCACAGACTCCACAAGGTTAAACAATGAGCCCAGCACCAACATCTTCCCTGAATGAACACAAACATACATACTCATCTAAATATAACCGCAGGTTAAAGCTGCTAGTGTGTGTGTGTGTGTGTGTGTGTGGCACACAAGTGAAAGAGCTCAAGCCTTAAACTATGTTATTTCAATTTAATTGCTGTGTCATTTTATACACTTTAATTAACCATTTGCTGATGCACTGTATTTTGCTGAAAATGATCATTTAAAAAAGCATAAAGCATAAACTGATAAACACAAATCTTAACAAACTCCAGTCCTGTTTTGGTGTAGGGATCCTTACCTATGACCACATCCACAGGCAGTTGTGCCAACAAACTCCCAATAGAGGTCAGTTCACCATGACTGTCTAGCGCCCCCTGCTCTTTCAGATAAGTAACAGCAGTCTGGATACTAGCAGCTGGAGGTGGATCAATGAAGACAAAAGAAAGTGGATCTCCAAGACACATGCTCTTCATCTGCAGGACCAAACAGCATCAGTAAAGCTAGATATTCACTAACGAAACTGAAGAATCAAAAAGAAGAATTGCTATCCTGGAGACCTGGAGAATGAGGGAGTCCAGAGCCACTCTGTTGATTTCAGGGACAGAATAAGGTGCAAAGGCATTGTAGTCAGACTCGGCATACAGGCGATAACACACTCCTGGACCCGTACGACCAGCTCTGCCTTTCCTCTGCTCAGAACTGGCTCGGCTGATCCAGAACTCCTGCAGTCGTTGCATCTTGGCCTTAGGATCGAAACTCATTTCCTTTACCTTCCCTATAAAAGGATAAATAACAAAACAATCCATTTCTACAGCTGCTGATCAACCTATGGTTCATATATTATGTTTTGCCCTTGTTAACAATTTTTATTTATTCAAATTGTATTCATTTTTCACAAAGGTAAATCCCCTGTCATGTGTACTACTAATTCCATACCTGAGTCGACAACAAAGCGCACCCCATCTATTGTCACTGACGTCTCAGCAATATTGGTCGATATGATGCACTTTCTCACCCCAGGAGGAGCAATGTCAAACACCTGAAGAAAAAACATGACAACAGAATCAGAACTGGTAAGTCATAGCTGACATATCAGATTTAAACCATATATGTCCATTCCAAACCAGACAAAGCTGAATGTGCCTTATCCTGCTGGGCCAGTGAGAGGGTGCTGTGCAGTGGCAAGACTATCCAGCGACGTGTGTGTGTGGCATAAATCTGGCAGGCCTCCTGGACGGTGGAGATCTCTGCCACACCACTGAGGAAGAGGAGCAGGTCACCACGCTCCTCTGGAGGGTAACGCTGATCGATGCCCTGCAGGATGCGCAGGTATGGTCTGGGATCCAATTTCTCAGATCTTGAGGACTGCTCCTCAGGTGGAATGGGCTGGTATATCACCTTAGCACAGGAAACAGAAAAAAATGACTTTTATATTATATGAATATGTTTTGACAAACATTTGTTGATTTGAGTAAAGGTAACAGTCTTGACACTTCCAGTGCATTCATCTTTGTGTGCCAAAGTCAGGGCCCAGAAAGCTAGTTTCCTCTGGTGAAACATATTTACATGTGTGACTACTGTTGCTCTCTGCTTACCTGTATAGGAAACAGCCTGCCGGGTACCTGCAGCACAGGAGCACTACTGAAATAGTCAGAGAAAAGTTTGATGTTGATGGTGGCTGACATAAGAACAAGATGCAGGCCTGGACGGTCAGCCAGCAAAGATCGCAGAACCCCAAGAAGGAAGTCACAGTGGAGATGTCTCTCATGGACCTCGTCCACAATCACCACCTGGTACTGAGCCAGTGTCCGGTCCTGCTGGATCTGTCGGAGCAGCAGCCCCTCAGTCAGGAACAGCAGTTTGGTGGCTGGGGTTCGGGTGGTCTCAAAGCGAATCTGGTACCCCACCTGAAATCCAGGACTACATATTGTGAGCTCTAATGTAGTTTTCTGTAATATGTTAAATCACTGCTACTCAAAAAAGTTAACATTTGGTATGCTACTACAATGTGTTTAATATTTTCACTTCATAACTGCTTCAAAAAGATCCATTAGAAAAAACAAAACAGATTAGGCTGTAGAAAATGTTGTTAATGTACTGATCAGCCAATTGTGCAAACTACCAGACTTGTTGTTTGGTCTTGAAGGCTCTGCAATTTATCCAAGAGGCTTTATTTGTTCCACTGACTGTTTGGGAATCCCACAGAGGTTTAACTACCTGGGACTCGCCAGCAGTCAGTAAAACTGGTGATGTTAGATGAATGCTAAACTCCCTCAAGGTCAGCTGTCTTTGATTGAGTACCTTTAGATGTCTTATGTGTTGGAGCGGAATGTGCAAGTCTATTGTCTAGTTGGTGCTTGATGGTCTATGACAAACCTTTGAGCCATACTGATTGAGACTCTCAAAGCTGACCCTCTTTGCAAGGGATATGCAGGCAATCCGTCGAGGCTGAGTGCAGGCTATGTGGTTGAAGCCAGATGAAAGAAGATACTGAGGTACTTGTGTGGATTTGCCACAGCCTGTGTCCCCTGCCACTACAACTACAGGATGACTTTGCACCAGCGCCACTATCCTGTCCCGGTACTGGAAAATGGGCAGGTTCTTCTGCTCCTGGCGAAGCTTGGCCAGTTTACCAAAACTCTGTTTCTGACTGAAGTCCAGGAAATGCAGGAGAGCCAGGCGGCAGTCTGAGATCTCCTGACTACCTGGCCCTGAGGATCTCTGCCAGCTTCTGGACTTTCCCAGGCGCTCTTCGATATCCCTGGTGCAAACAGAAACATTAATCCGGTAGCGAGCATCATACTCTTTAGGGAGGCCGAGGTCCATTTTTCCAGATCTCCTACTGTCTTTCCCTTCTCTATCCTGTTTCCGACCTGCTCCCCCGGACCCAGAAATGTCCCTTTTTGTTTTAAACCTCTGGAAGCGGTCAAAGAAAGCCCAGAACTCTTTATGCTCCGGGCTGCCTTTCTGGATGTAATCGTGCTGGCGGAAAAAGATCTCATCCAGCTGTGCTCGGCACTGCGGGCTGTCCCAGTCCCAACTCCGGCTGTGTCTCCTCCCGTCTGAATCCATATTTACTTTAAAGTGCGTTAATCGGCTCACCCAAGATCAAACTGGATTCAATTTTATCCACCGCTAATAAATACACGTTTACAAAGCAGCGTGATAAACAACAATGTTACCTCTACATTGAATAAATTACAGGCTAGCTAACAAGGTCCCACCCGTTTTACATTGGTCTTAAAGGCAGAACAAATGTTATTAACAGTGTTTTAAAAGGCTACAGCTGAGATCATCGGACACTTATATTTTACGACTGTGAGAAAATAACTGACGATAGAAGCTGGTAGAATATGCTACGGTTCCAACTACTCTAGACATTAGGGGAACAATAATACGGTGGGACCGTTTCCGCTGCACTCTTCAATATATTCCGGTAAAAAATTATGCTCGTATTTGTTCCGGGGTGAAATAATGAAAACATATGTGTTTATGTTAGAAAATATTGGTCGTGAGCGTCAGTATGAATCTGTACCAGCAAAATTACTCTCACACGGTCTGCATTACCGTGGAAATTGAAGAATTTTGCCTTGTAATCAAATGGCGCAGCCCGGTTTACTCTATTCCGGTAACAAAACAAAAAGCACAGTATGTACTACATTTAAAAAAGAACGACAAGGTTAACAGATAGAGGGCGCTAATGCAACAAACTTTGAATGCCAACATGCCTAAATCCTAAGAAAGAAGAAGAGGAGGAGAACCAGGAATGTTTTGAAGAAGATGATAAAAGCACAAAGCAGAGATTCATTTGTAGTGCAAATATTACAGTGAACAAACCAATTCAAATATGTTTTCAGTTTAAAGTCAGTGCAAATAGAGCATGCATAAAGCAATGGGTAATAAAGCAAAGTCAGTAAAAAGAAATTGTAGAATGAATGTTTGTGTATATTAATTGAAATGCTGAGAATTTGAGGTTATATTACAAATATTTTATTTAAAAACATCTAATATAAAATGCACATTTATACAGATTTATGTAAGATCAAACAGGACAGATATTACTATTATTGTGTTGGGTGAAAAAGGGTCATATGGCATATTAAACTTAAAACCTACTATTTTATTCTTCTTTTCTATTAAATAAAGCTAATAGAAAAGAAGTTCACATCTGTTAAAATAAGATGACATCCATGATGAGAAGGGTAATGCTTTAAAAAGTGAACAAATGATATTACTAACCGTTCGGAAATGTCTATATATCACAAATCAATCTGGAATCAATAATAAAATGTTTAATATACCAAACCATAGGAGGTAAGATGGAATGAGCTTGCTGTCATTTTGTATCTAATGTATAACATTTAGAACAAAGACAACAAGTGGTGGGAAATTCTTATGATGGATTCTAATAAATCAGGCAACAGAGTACAAGGGCAAACATTTCATGTGTGTACATGTGTAACAATCATACCTGAAATCTGTTTCTTGTGCAACACATAACATTGTTCTCTATTAAAACATGCTAAAAAAACAACAGCAAAAACCAGACAAAAATAAGACTTTTATATACATTTAAAACATTTCATCAACCCTTCCCTCATAAAATTTGCAGTGGACAAAGTGTGTTGCAAACAGTGCATTTCCACCCCAGCTGAAGTGAAGGCTGGTACATTAGCTGGAAAGTCAGAGTGGTGTTTTACTGAAGCTACAATCCGTGGTGTGTTACTTGTAATCAGCCCATGTCATGTCCATATCTTTGGCCTGTTTGACCATTTCCCAGTGGTCTACACTCCTGTCTTTTCTTTGATCCAGCCACGAAACTTGGTGACCCTTGTGTAGATGCCAGGTTTGTCTCTGCGAGCGCAGCCATCACCCCAGCTAACCACTCCTCCCAGGAACATACGGTTGGTGCCCGGACTGGACAGCGGACCACCAGAGTCCCCCTAAAACAGACAAATATACGTGGACACACAGGTACGTGTTAGCACATAATTATTAGATGGGAGCAACAGACTGGTAAATTTGCCTATTGATAAAATATTTATATCCTTTGTCTTGTAGTCTGGAGGAAAACTATTCTTCAAAGAGAAACAGAAAGAAAGAGCAGCATGAAGGCCAGGGGTCTTTTATTACCTGACAAGCATCGACTCCTCCGGTCAGTATTCCAGCACACAACATACGAGATGTGATCTGCCCTCCCATCAAATTGTCACACACTGTGCTGTTTATGATTCGGACCTGGGCCTTTTGGAGCACTGAAGCAGCAGATCCTGAATCACAAACACACACACACAAAAGATACAATCTTTTTTCTGTTTATAAATACAGATATGCAAAGCAGTATTTTAAAAATATTTTACTCCATCTGACCTCCAGGGGCTGCACATGCACCCTCAGTAAAACTACTGCTACTACAAACATTATTAAATTAAAAATAATGCAAACAAGAAGCTATAATATACAACTTATACTGTAGCTTTACATTTACCAGATATTTTAGAGACCGAGCTAAAGTTTGGGCCTTATTAGAAACTATTCACTATTAGTGGATACAAGTGTTCAACAAAAAAAGAAATACAGTGTTTACAGTTCATCCAGACTCACCTCCTTCTCGAGTGGCTCCCCACCCAGTGATCCACACATTGCTGCCAGCAGGAAAATCATGCTGGGGAGATGGCAAGCAGATGGGCTTGATGTAGTTGGAGTAGGTGACAGGGCTGTCCAGCTCCATCAGGGCAATGTCATTATCAAAGGTGTATGAGTTGTAGTTGGGGTGGGGTATGACTTGCTTCAGGTTCTTCTTCACCACATTACTTCCAAGCTTATTCTGGGTGTGAAGGCCGAGGTAAGCCACCCAAGTGCCGGGCTGGGAGTATCTGAGAATGCACACAAAAACAGATCACAAAGTTACAGTAATTCTCTGGTAACATTAACAGGCACATCACAGGGCACAAACATCACATTAGAAAATATGTTTGAGAAACGTGGTTGTCCAGTTCCACGGCAGTGAGTGTGGCAGAGTACGTGACGACTCAGGCTGCATCCAAACTAAAGAGAATGTCTAAAAGCATTTATTAAAAACTGTTTTATGGAAGCAGTCATTGTTCAGGTAGAAAAATCCCACTTTAAAGTCATTTCAGAGACGATGCATAAATACCTACGCCGGTAGGAGACAGGCATGGTCAAACTGAGGGTCTGGAATGATTTCATGCATGTTAAATTATTCACACACATCCAAGCACTGTGTTGTTAGTGACAACACAGAGGCCTAAGGTTCACTTTACACGTGACAAATAGTTTACAGTAGCTTTCAAGTCAAACAACTGAACTGAACTGTTATTTTTATTTAAATTTATTATACTGTACTTTTTTTTTTTACAACCCTCCTTCCAATTAGGAAAGTTAAAATAATGGCGTCCCAGAATAAAAACAAAAACAGTTTTAAGGTCAATCTACTGTTACTCTAGATAAGTACATGTGCTAAATATTGTAATATGAAATTTGAATGTTCACCAGATGTCAAATAAAATGGGTGATATTCTGCAAAAAGGATTTCTAGTTGCCAGTGTGTACATAAAGCATAAAGTAAGATCCTACTTTATCTTGCTGTCATCTTGCACACAGTGGGCAGCAGTGACCAGCCAGGTCGGACTGATGACGGATGCTCCACACACGTGACCATAGTTTTTCACATGGAGGCTGACCTGCCAGGGATACTCCCCCTCTTCTGCATTTTGACCGCCTACAATACGGGGCATTTTCATCGTCTTCCCACAGTCTGCAGAGTAAACAGTCGGTCACAGGGCTGCATTGTTGCAGTGGAAGTTGGGTGATAGTTCACATCTGTTTTGTCATGCAAGTGAAACAATACAGCTGAAGATAACCTGACCCGAAGTACATGCACCCACTGAGGTTTTGTTTGTCACATACCGCAGTTCTCCTCGTCAGATCCATCATCACAGTCCCGTACACCGTCACATTCAGGGTTCACCTTAGTGATGCACTTATTGTTTTTACATCTATATGTGAGATCAGTGCAGCTTATACCAGTGGCTACAGAGAGAGAAGGAAACAATCAAATGCAAAAACTTTGAAAAACAACAACAAAAAAAGTATTTTTAACACCATTAATACATTTATACGACTACCTGTTCACAATCAAAGCAATGTTAGGGTTCATCTGGAGTCATGTTTCTGTCCACCCGATAAAAGTAACATGCACTCTTTCTGGCTCTGTTTTATAAATCTGCCTTTTTATTTGCTTAATGCACTTTCTAGTGGCTTATACCATACTAGCTTTTTTGGCTTGCTGCTACAGGAAAGTAGAATTGATGAGTGTGATGAGGCTGAACCAGAACAGTAAATGGGACTCCTTTTATTTGATCCATTAACTTGTATAAAATAAATTAGACAGATAAAAATGCTGAGTTAATGACACTGTGAAGGAAATGTCTTTGCTATTAACAGGAGAATGTCCTCTGAATGGCATAGGAATGGGTATCAGGTAGATTTGCTCCATGCTACTGGAAAATTATTCCACTTGTTTTGAGAAAACACAGCTTTTTAAAAAATGAAGAGAAGATTCAGCGGCTAATGTCTGGAGACATTTTTACAATTAGGAACAAAATCGGTCTTACATCTTTCACAGCCGAGTTCATCTGACGCGTCCCCACAGTCGTCTCTTCCGTCACAGCGATTCTTCTCAGAAACACATTTGTTATTCTTACATGATATTTGTCCAGAATGACACGCTCCTTAAAAAGTAAAGAAACCTGTATGAGACAACTGACAGAAAGCCTTCCAGAACTTATATAAAATATCAGTACCGGTCTTACCACAGTTCAGCTCATCTGTGCCGTCTCCACAATCATTGACGCCGTCACATGTCCAGAATTTGGGCTTACACAGTCCATTGTTACAAGTGGTATCATTTTCGCTGCACTCTGGAAGAAACACAGTTATAGACTACAATTAGAAAAAAGCTGTTCAACCCAAAACTCTCAATATAATCTGAGTTTACAGTGCTTACTGCAGTTAAGCTCATCACTCATGTCTCCACAGTCATTCCAGCCATCACACTTGAGGTCTGCCCTAATGCAGCGCAGATTCTTGCACTGGAACTGATCTGGACAAGCTGTGGGTGACAGAGTTAACATGATACACTTTTCTGATGTCAAGAAATCATTTTCTGGGAGAAACTGAGTCTCTTACGGTCATTGAGGTCAATGGACTGAAACACTGCACTGAAACCTCGGTTCACATAGGAGGCATCAGAGAAAAACACCACGTCCATTTTGTTTGTTTTGCTGGTTTGCACTATTCTTTCATCTGGCTGATCTCCACACAATCTGAGGATGAGATACACAAGAAGTGACATATCTGCTCTGTTGTGTAACCACTGTTGTTTGTTTTTATACAAACAAGCTTGGACTCACTTCTTTTTATTGACCTCCACGTAGTCTTTACGACAGTCATTACTGCCTCCCTGTCCGGGTTCAGACATGAGGAACTTTTTGAATGTCACCTTCGCTGCCTTACCATCAGGGACCTTAATGATTGATAAAGACAAGGAAAAACAAAATGACACAGTGACATGCGACCTTCTGGGGAGCGATACAGAGCAGAAGTCCATGTTAAAGATACTGCATGATATGGCTAGGTCACATGCAGACATCTCACCTCGATTGACCATGAGCATGAACTGTGAGGAGGATAGTAATTTGGGTAGTTGGGTGAAGTGAAGGTGCCCGTTTCACCTTTCAGTAAACCACCACAGGTTGTACCTGGTAAAAACGACAAGTGTTAGTATTTGCACCATCATTCTATATTTATGGTGTCAAATGAGCTTGTTAGTATTTGCACCATTATTCTATATTTATGGTGTCAAATGAGCTACAAGCATAAGCATTAACCCTACCACGTGGGACTTGTGAGACTTTTGCTCTAAAACCTGGGAAGTTATTCTTATCATTTGTGACCAGGGTCACCAGCATGACATTTCCAGAAGACATGAAGGTCGGCGGGTTAATGGGTGAATAGTACCCACATAACCTGTAGGAGGAAGAAAAACATCATCATCATCATCATCAATTTCCTATGTTCACTTTTCTCAAAAAACATGTTTGACATTAACTGTCAAATAGCGGGTGTGATGGTTGTGATGCAGGCTTTATTTACATTGCATTTCTTCTATGATGAATTTATCATGCATGTTTTCTAACTGCACATTATTTTTCCGGTCCGGAGAGGACAATCACATGATCATATTTTTAGCTGCTGCTCCCATTCTAGGATGAGGCTTAACTCAGCCAATATTAGGAACTGCACCTTTACAGTATGTGCAGTCCATCAGACACACAGCGTCTGACGAGCAAGGGGACTTCTCTATCCAATATGAAAAACATGCACAGTGCACCATGACAGTAAAAGTGCAGAAAGCAGGCGACTTAAATGCTGTAAACAGATGAGGCAAAGAGAAAACTCACTCTCCCATAACACGGTTCTCAATGGCCACCAGAGAATCATAGATTTTGACAAAGTCATTCTTGCAATTTGCTTCCAGATTAATGGTAACAAACTCCAGCTTGATGACACTGTTGGGGTCTGCTCTTAGCTGCCACTCCATGAAGATGTTTGGGGGATAAGGAGAATCGGGGAAGCCTGGGGACTGGATCTGCCCTATGGAATTGGGCTTCGTATGTTCAGAAACCTTTAAAAAATCTGAGACAAAAAACAATGACATTCAGTGGTGTTCACATTCAGCTTTGCAATTTGGAAAAGAAATCACTTTCAGTGGACTGCAGCAGGCAACTTACTTCGATGGAAATGAAATGCAATGGTTTAAACACTATTTTGCATGCATTTTCATTTCCATGTGCTGTTTCAATGCTACACTCCTAAAGTATTGCATTCTCATTAAAACTAGAGATGCACTGATCGCAATTTTACTGGCCAATTCTGATTTATGATTTTTTTAAAGTCTTTCTTTTCTTTAACAAACCTCCAACTAAAACTAAAGTGCAATATTTGTACTTGCATGCAAGATGCTACGTGCTGCACATGCTCTGCTTTTGGTCTGTGCCACTATGTGCACGACGTGGACTGTTGTGCCTCTAAAGCTGATCGGCATAGAATCAGAAACATCAGTGTGAACGGCTGTCACCGGTCAAGGATCACGCAGAAAACCGGCCATTTCTGATCTCCGCTGATCAATCAGTGCATCTCTAATAAAACTCATCACAACAACAAATCAATGTCCAAACATGATGGAACTAGACATTCATCATGCACGTCAGAAAAACATTCTAACCACTGACAAGTGACAATAATCAAGAGTGACCCAAGTCACGGTATTAACCATGTTCCAGGTGTTTGACACCATTTTTACTGTTTGTTTCCATGTGTAACAAAGAGTTGTCTAGTAAAACAAATCATTAAACAAGCTTGGCACTTACTGTTGAATGATTTTGAAAGGATGCGGGGATCAAGTGCTGTGAGATGAAACCAAAAACAAATAACACAGACATAATTAGGACAAAGATACCAATAGCAAAACTCCACAGCCTATGCAGACAGAACCTGACAACTCACTTCACAACAAACTACAAGGATAGCGATGGACTAAATTACAAACGCCAGCAGTTTGGCCTTCTGTTGCTTTGACTCTACCTGAATTCATCACATCTTCAAGGACCAGAGATTTGCCAGACATATCCATGATACGCTTCCCTCTGTCCACTAGCTTGTCCACTGAAGTCATGGCATTGTCCACATCTGCTTCTCTCCCTTCAGGCACTCTGAACTCAGACAGGTAGTAGGCAATGACGCTGCCTTCACCACATCTTCAAGGACCAGAGAGTTGCCAGTCATATCCCTGATACGCTTCGCTTTGTCCACTAGTTTGTCCACTGAAGTCATGGCAGTGTCCACATCTGCTTCTCTCCCTTCAGGCACTCTGAACTCAGACAGGTAGTAGGCAATGACGCTGCCTTCACTAGGAGCAAAGAGACAAGGATTAAATAGTACAGAGGTGGAGCAAAGTACTAAACAAAATGTCAGTATATAAACATTGCCTGTTGATGTATCAGACTCTTTTTGGTTTTATTAAAAACTGCCAATGGGTCAGCGATAGCAGAAGTACCAACCACAGATAGGTGAAAATGAATTCTTCACAGATTTTCCATAAATAATAGCTACTGAAAAATAATTTGTCTGTGTTTCAGAGGAGAGGTGAAGTGTGGCCTGGGTGAACCTTTATTTTACTAACAATTACTTTGTCTATTTGTCTTGACCACACTCTGATCAAACTGACCTTTACAGGCTTAAATAGCTTGAACTTAACTGAACTGAAACACAGAGTAAAAGAAAACCATTCATTTATGGGCCATGGAAATGTTCTTTAAAATCGCTGCATTTGGATGCAGACAGTGCATCTGAACTTGCAATATTAATAACAGAAATGTGACAATTTGTTGAAAGTGTGTTAAAAATGGTCACTTGCTCTTTGAGCTGTGGACTCGCCATCTTCCACATTTCTGTTTAATTTGTGTTTGAAATGCTAGCCGGCAAAAACAGAAATGGAAACAACAGCCTCTTGGAAAAGGTACAATGAAATGCTCACTCCTTTACCTGAAAGCCTGAACTGTAGAACCAACATAGTATTTGGCCAGTTGAGGACTTTTGGAATAGATGGTTTTAAGCTGAAAGAGACAGAATCATAATTACAGCAGAGTGCGAATGAAGGCTGTCTGACACAGAGCTGACCAGAGTATCATTTCTGGGGACAGGGCAGTGGGATGAGGCCTGAGCAGTAGTCTTACCTGTGACGTCACCTGCTTGGCCAGTGCCTGGAACTCAGAGCTGTTGGAGTTCTCGTATTCGTTTATAAAGACCTGGTTGGTGATCTTCATGGAGCCGGTGTACATCCTCCTGACCCATCCATCTTTCCGGACTGCAGGATCACACAGACAAGACTGAGATACACATCCACATGAGTCCAGCACCACAGTATTTTCTTATATCTTGTGTGTTGTGATGTTTTCAGTCTCTCAGATGTTCTTGTTTCAACTGATGTGCCTTTAATCTCCGTTTCTAGGTTTCAAACGTTTGCATGTGCAAACAAGAATAGAATAAAAGGTGGAATGAGCTCCAACCTGCCAATGAACAATTCACGGTTTAACTAAACCATCTGTTCTTATGCGTTTTTTCCAAAGGCAACTTTAAGCAGGCAGCAAAATTTATCTCCACTTTTTCTTTTGAACTATATGTTTTACTGCCACTAAAGAAGTCAGTTTTTGGTCCTGTTTGTCTGCCAGCCATCTCAAAATCCTGTCAACAGATTTCTGTGAAATACAGAGGAATATTTCACTGGGGCCCATGAAACAAGTATTTTAATGTGGATCCATGTCTTTTTGAAGCATTTTGCAAAAGGGCCTATTTGTACTACTATTTGGCAAATCCCACCTTCTTTAAAACCCTATTCAGATTTTTTAAAACTTGTTTTTATTTAACAACAGTTTGCAGCAAAGAGAGGATTGTGGACTGGTAGCGATGTGAGCTCTGTTCTGCAAAGCATGTCTGACAAAACAATAACAAGAGGTTCAGCACTACCTGACAATGATGACATGGCAGTTAGCACTTTATCAACACCAAATAGTTTCCCTGTTACTCTGCAGTTGTGACATTTATTCATCTTTGTTAGTCCAGTTTGTCAGTTTTGGCAGGACAAGTCATGACTGTGGAGACTGCTCCCTCTAACAGTAATATCATATTGAGTCAGTTCCGCTGTGCATCCTTATGTGTCTCATGTTGGTTGATCTCATGATGAATATCCAGATGCTGACAGTCAGATTGTTTGGTTGGCATTAGCCGTATTTGTACAGTTGCAAAAGATGTCATTGTGAAGGTTATTGCAAAGTTCCTTCTCTTTACGTGTTTACTTTGCCCAATGCTGTACACACATTTACACTGAATACACAAAGGAAAAGGGCACTTACAGTGGAAATGCCAGACCAGCAGTCCAATTGCAAGTGCAAGAATAGCAGCAAAAATCACCACACCGATCACAGCCCCGAGTTTCTTCGAAACCTTTTTCTTCTCAAGCTTTTTGTTATTGGATGCTGGCAGGAACTGGACATTGGTATCCCAGTCTTTGTCCTTGAAGACGCACAGACAGAATGATCAATACAGAAATCTGGAGACACATATTCAACTAACAACAACCTCCAAATACATTTCATACTGTATGAGGATGAAAACGTGTGTTCTTTTCCCCAGGGATGTCCCACTAATGACGCTTTTTGAAACTTTTGAAATTAAGGTCAGGATGGAAATACTGCACCTATTGTACCTGAGTGGAACAGATAATGATTTGAAGATAAAAGACAGCAGCAGACAGCAAGTAGGTGCTTGTATATTTTAGGAATGTTGCTGCATGTGGTTGCCTATGAAATTAGGTTCTCCACCAGAGAAACACGTGCAACAGTGCACTGAAATACTGACAAAACACTCTCCTTAGACAAACAGCTTTTCAAGGGATGAACTTTCATTTAAAATATGTTCATTTAAAAAAAAAAAAAAAAAAAGGACAGTTTCAACATCTGGTGCTGGCAATGATTTAGAAGGAAACTTCGAGTGTGAGTCATGGCTCCTTTAAGAGATGACACAGGGGTGGAGGGAGTACAAAGGTTTCACCATTTAAAATCCTGTCAAACCTGCTGTGAGCAAACCACTCACAGGTCTGAAGTGTAACACAACAGGTTTCTGTGTTCTTGGTATACTGTTACATAAAACTCAAACAAACATTTCCATGGCTCTGATAGTGGGCTTGTTAGTTGTACAATTACAAGGCGATTAATGCAAGAGAGGCTGAAGATGTTAACGTTTGCTGAAAAGGTCATATGTTCTAACCTGCTTGCCATACAAAAGAGACGTCTTAACATTCATGAACAGACATCTTTGAAAGTTGGTGGAAAATGATGAATACTTGATTTCAAATAAGTTTTATTAACACTACAAATCTCAGGAACTTTATTAACACGGTTACTGTTAATGAAGGGTAAGACTTTCCACCTGTTTCAACCTCATACTGAATGAAAAGCATGAATTAAACTGTACTATGAGCATATAGCAGCAGCTCAGGCAATAAAACGTAATGCTTGACAGGGTGGTTATTTTCAAACATTTGCCATATTAAATGCTCACTACAAGAGAACAGATATTTTTCCATGTATGCATCTGTCTTGTTTATTAACCAAATATTACAGGAATCATGAATTCACTGCCTGAGGTGACTTTTAAAAGTTGCAAAAAAATATTAATGGAAATACATTCTAAATTAAGAGAGTAAACCTGTCATCTCTGTATTAAAAAAAAACCTTTATTGGCTACAAATTAATTTTAAAATAACCAGAACAGTAAACTCATGTCTTCAAATAAACCATAACTTTAAATATTATTGCTTAATGAAGGCTAAACTTTAAGTGTCCATCACACACACAAAATATTAAAATGACATTCCTTAAGATGTCAAATGCTTAATCTTGCTTATTATTCTTGTGGACAACAGGAACCTAAATATGTAATAATATTAATTTGTCTAAAGTGACACTGAATTTATTACCCGGCCTCACTATCACGATCTTGTTCGCGCTGCTCTATTTGAGATGGATATTTGACACTGTGATATGATACTGTGACACTGTGCAGTAATCCTGAATAGGTGTATCAATGGATTCAGGTGGGCAAGTCATCCCCTGGGGGGGGCGGGACGAATTCAGGGAACAGCCTCATGATGGCTGCCTGGTTTCTGGGAACATTCTGGGAATTCATAAATGATCCCTGGGGATGTTCCCAAGTATTGTCATGTCAATCATCCCAGACTGATACTCTAAAATAGCTATGTGAGGAAAATGTTATCCAACATATTGAGTAGGTTTAATGGCTGGAGATGAGGTTTTGTGGTGCCTTTGACTGTATTCAATACATTTTTTGTTGTGCTAAATTCTTGAAAGTGAGGAACCCAAAAACACGAGGTAGGCGTGTGCTGAGTCTTTTAGGGCTTGTCAGTTAGCAGGATGCAGTATCTCAAAACCTGTTACAGGTTCAAAAAGATCTGATTGTTCCCTGGGCTAATAAACATGAAACCCAAACGATTTCTGCTATTATCTCATGAACTGCTATTCACTTGAAAGGAAAGAAGGTCTGTCATATGTGTCCTGCGTCTGCCTATCACAACGTCTGCTGTGGTCCTCATTCAGATGCAAAAGAGACATTTCATCTTATTTTCAAAATAACAAATGCCTGGGATTGCTCGGCCTCAGAAGACATATTTGCTCTCAAGAATCAAAAAGGTGAAGGTTTTGGGCATTTTGCTCTCACAGCCCATAATCAGTGCAAAACAAAGAAATGCCAAAGAAATGAACGCAGTTTATTGGCCTTTCTCAGTGTTGGATTTCTTTTTCACACATTAACATGCAGGTGATAAAAGCACCTGAGACTGCTTAGAATAAAAACCCCAACCTGATTAGCACACAAGGACATCCTATGATTGTCACGTTTGTGTAAAATGGCAACACAAATGACCTATGTACATCATTTCTGACAGGTTTTCTGTGGACAGGTAATTTACCTCTAGCCTATAATTATTTGACCAGGCGGGTCAGTAGCGGTTTGGATCACTTCCTGTATCCTCCCCACCGCCCCACAAAACAGGATAAGCACCCAGTAATGTAACCCCCATTCACACATGTAACAGACAGACACAAAGACTTTATAGAGGTACACTTTCTTACCTTGCTGGGGGTGTATCTCAGTCCACTGTCCATGTAATCCATCAGGGGTCAACACCTGGACTAAACTGCTAAAATGAAAGGCAAGACGTGAGCGAACACCTGAACCACTTCTCCTCTTTCTCCTGCTCCTCTCGTTATTTCCTACAGGACTTCCAGATATGTCCACAGGCTGCTTTTCGATGTGAACCTGCAGTCCGAGAGAGTCGCCAAGAGGTGATTAGTTTGGCAACGAATTCAACCACCTGCGAGCAAACACGCGCAGAAAGTCTATACAAAAAAAAAGAAGCTGCAACGAGGATATAATCTTCTGGTTTCTCTACGAGAAGTCTCCTCTCCGATCGAAGTACAGACAGGTGCCTGTCTGTCTCCCAAGAATCACCTGTATGACCACCACACCAAGAGGATCCAGACGAAACAAAGAAAAAAAGAAAGAAAGAAACGTCTTCCGGGAGCCTCAGATTTCTGTGGGCGTCTCCGCTCCTTACTCACCTGTAGTGACTTCCTGTTTACCCGCCACAGGTGAGAATAACCATGTTATATATGGAAAACTTTAATTTCCAAACTAAATTGGCTAAGTTATATGTTAGTTTTGCCACATTTTCAACGAGTTGTAATTGTATTTAAATACAAAAACAATTATTTGGTCCATTTATTTATTAACACAGTTGAGGGTTCATACAGCCTATTTTTAGTATCAGTCATGTGATGTTCAGGCAGTTCCAGCCTCGCCCCAGTGTGTGATTCACGTCGGGTCCAGTCAGAGGTTTTTGGTGAGCGTTGTAAATTAAAACCTGTCACACTGTCGTTTCATAACACACATCCAAATACTGAAGGTATTTGCGGAATCCTCATAGAATCAAAAATAGCCCGGTCCAGTCCAGGAAAAATATACATTTTGTCAGTTTCTTGAAGGAACGGATTTGCTTCACTTAAAATTTAAGATGGCGACAGGAAAACAGAATCAGCTTTATTGGCCTTGTGTGTTGGACACATGAGGACTTTGACTCTTGCTACAGTGGCTTTTGTGTACATGTACAGTGCTCTTCAATAAAGCAACAGGTAGACAAGTGAACAAGATAAGGCTGAGAGGACAAAAAAGAAGAATGTGAAACCATGAAGGAATGTGCACTATGAAAATAAAAACAAAGCACATATATACACACACACACACACACACAATTTAGATACAGTTTTCCAGATAGATAATGTATATAGAAAAGTATATTTACAAGGTATTGCACTGAGGGTTGTGGTACTATTATACAGTCATGGGTTAAATGTTCATCAGAATGACAGCCCAGGGGAAGAAACTGTCCTTGTGTGTGGTTGTTTTGGTGCACAGTGACCTGTAGCGCCATCCAGAGGGGAGGAGTTCAAACAGTTTGTGTCCAGGGTGTGAGGGGTCTGCAGAAATCTTCTCTGCCCTCCTTTGACCTATGAGGTGTACAGGTCCTCCATGGAGGGCACGCTGGTGCTGATGATGGTTCTTTTCTGCAGCCCTGACTGTTCACTGGAGTCTGTTTGTGTCCTGTGTGGTTGCTGAGCCAAACCAGACAGTGATGGAAGAGCAGAGAACAGACTCGATGATTCCTCTGTAGAACTGTATCAGCAGCTCCTGGGGGAGGTTGAACTTCTTGAGCTGGCGCAGGAAGTGCATCCTCTGCTGTGCCTTCTTGATGACGGTCCTGATGTTGGACGTCCACTTCCTGTAGTCGGTAAGGTTTTTCAGGCTTCTACACGCAGATGAGGGATTGTTGGCTGAAAACTGGCTTTTCAGCTTTTCAGAGCAGCTCCGCTTTGCTACTCTGATCTCCTTCCTGACCTGCCTGTACAGGACCCTGTCCCCACTTCTGTAGACCTCCTCATTGGCATGATGAAGCTACTTGAGTCTTCCTGTGAACCAGGGCTTATTGTTGTTGTATGTGCAGAAGGTCTTGGTGGGCACACACATGTCCTCACATAAGCTGATGTAAGATGTCACAGTGTGAGTGGGTTCATCCAGCTCTGTAGGCACAGCCTCAAATACACAATACTGTCTCTTATTTTTTTGTGAAAATTGAGCATGGATGTATTATTGAAACCTATTGTTATTATTGTTAATGAATGTATTACTTGAAAATTAAGTGAAAATCTTATTAAAATTGTTTAAAGTCAAGTCCCTTTCACACAAAGGCAGGGTGATGACATCATTTCCTGTTGCCATCTTTTCTTACCTGAAAAGAAACTGTATGACCTGAGAAACTGATTAAAATTGTAATTTTCCCAGACTGGATTATTTTTGATTCTGTGTTGTTAGTTGAGTCTATAAAGATTTGGGAAATACCTTCAGGAATTGGGTGAATGTTATGAAACCATGGTACTGGGTTAAAACGTTCGGCAAGTTTCAGTTTCGAGCACTCACCGAAGATGATCTCTGTGACTCGGTTTTCGTATGCCCTACTTTTTGTACGATTCGGTTTTCGTCGAAATTTTGTCCCGGTTTTCGTACAGTTGATTGTTCGGTTCAGCGTCATTAGTCCGTACCAAACTCGTCTGCCTGCCCGTGTGACTCCGCCACTCATTTCCTGGTAACCCCAGATTGGGCCTTGATACATGAAGTGCTTATGGATGTCAGGTTTTCCCGGCTGCACCTACTTTCTCACTCCCCTCTCTCTGTTTTCACTCCCTTACCCTGCTCACGTTTTCCTTCACACCTGTTTCTTACCCCCAGATTACCACCAGCTGCACCTGATTAGTTTCTCCCTATTTAGTCCCTGCTCTTCGTTCACTCCCCTGCCAGTTCTTTCCAGCATTTATCAGGCCCGTTTGTTA